AAAAATAGCCATGCTAATTGTTACATGATTCGATCTGTATTCGAACTCAATAGTGTTTGGTGATTCAAAGAGGTTTGTTGGGAAATACCACATTAGAAGCTTTATGCATATCTTGTTGTTGGCTTTATGTACTCTTGAACCCAAAAACTTTTCATCAAGATTGCATCTTGCATGTGGAAAGTATTGGCAATTTTGGCCATTGCTTATATTAACAGCCTTTTAATTTCCATCCCGTAGGATAAGTCGAAGATCTTCATGGCTAAATACTACTGGGTGAGATTACATACCATATTCGGACTTGCTTTGGCTGCTGGACTTGGAGCATCAAGAATGCATTATGGGGGACAACTTCAGAGTCTGTCAACGTACTTCGATTGTGCCAAGTTTGCGTTCTTCTGAGTTTACGCATTTGCATTTCATGATTCGGAAAGTGTGTTTGAGTTGCAAAAGTGATTTCCAGATTGTAAATGATAAACTAACTTAGGAGCTGAGGATGTTACCTTCATAGCTAACTTCAAGCTAAAGTTCTTTATCATAAGTTTCAATATCAACCACGACGCAGCGCCCAGTTTGTTTAGTTTTCAAATCAAAAGTTGAATAAATAAAAATAACAATAGTTAAAAAAACGAAATTCAACAAATCAACTGTGAAAAAATAGAAGATTTAATTTCAGGCTGCAAAATGAGATTCACTCCATGTTCTTTTCTCCAAGAGTATTGCAGAATTTAAGAAAAACAAAGTGAAAACTGTCATGTTACAAAAGTTCGATATGCTATGGTTTCAGAAGTCGGTCCTTTTCCATTTCCAGCGTGTCTGTTACAAGTATTTTTTGAGTCACGAATGCAAATATACAGACAATGTAAGAGTCGTCTTATGCTAAATAGAGTCCNTAAAAAAAAAAAAAAAAAAAAAATCATTTCTTTGCATGAGTTTAGAGAGACCATTTTTCTTCACTTCTTTTTTCTACCTAGCTATGCAGATTGTTATGTAAGGAAACGAGATATGGAAATTGCCGTGCAGACCTTATGAAGTGATGCTTTGTCTCATCCATTTTGTGGCCGACCATTTTTCTCCTGAGAGTACTGCACACCCACCGTGCAAACTGTTTGGATCTGATTTTCCATCGAGCCCCTGGAAAGTAAATAATTTCGGATTAGAAAATTATGAACGAGAAACTGAAAAACAGGTCTAAGATTAGGAGACAGAAAAACCAGGAATGTGTGACAAACGATAGAATTATCAAAGATGACTGTATTTTTTTCAGTTAAACTGAAGTAATTTTTTCGAACGCTGTATATAATTGGATAACAATCTTTAATGAAACTGAGCCATATTTCCAGTAAGATAACAAGTTGGGGAAAATAATAAAACAAAAAGAAAGATGACAAACCATGCTCCAGAAAAGCACAGCATCTCCTTTGACCGGTTTCACACAGAGGCCTGGGACCTTTTCGCCCCCACAGCTACATTCTCCAGTGCCAGCCTAAAATTAAATCAGATTACAAAATATCAAAATTTTGTAGTCAGAGTCAAAGAAAGTCAATCATTACTAAATAATGTATCTAATGAAACCTCAACCAATGTTCCCAAATCTTTAGATCATCAATTTCGGTTTCATGTTATTGTGTTTCTTTCTCATGAATCTGACCAACAGTTAACTAATGAACCCAACAACTGATAAATTTCATGAAATATACTTCTCATTGGACATGTCAAATGATTTTTAGCTTAACGTCTCTGCAGGTTCACAAGATAAAGCTCAGCAGCCATGCAAATTTGAAATATTAATCGAGGTCACTGTAAAATATTACATAACAAGAAGAGCAATAGATCTTGACATGGGACCCCACCTGTGGAAAATATGTTTCTCCTCCCTCAACATTGTCACTGAGATACATGAGCATGGTTGCCACTCTTTGACCTCCGTGCTTCAAATTGAACTGCGAAAAAAGAACCTTAAAACATTTAAAAATCGGTAGGTGGAATGGTTATTGCCATAGTTTAAAACAAGAAAGATATAATTAGTGTAAAAAAGTTGGAAAGGCACGTAAAATGAAAATACCGTATCAGAGAAGTAGTCGTGGTGCGGCCTGTAGAGCTCACCCTTTTCATACCTGTGCTTCTGCAGATGTTAGCCTTTATATTAAATCTTTGATTTTATTTTTAAAATGAGGAGTTATTCATTAAAGAACTCACCTCAACACCTGAATACGCTCCCCGTTTTCAACTGGCACTTGAGAGTAGACAGAAATTCTTTTCTCAATTGTCTGGTGGTGTATTAAACACAGTTGTCAAAACCCCATTGAGATGTAGAGAACACAACAAATCATCCCCCAATAAAGGACTTTTACATCATATTAGCTTTAACATAATCAAATCTATCAAGACCGTTGATTTTAGTTGATAAATGGGTTGAACTCATCCCAAAAGCAAGCTTAAAGAGAGAGGGTACCCAACCAACACGTATACACAATAGCAGCCCAATAACTAATCAATGTAAGACAAACATAAACTTCTAACACTAATGAAATGCTGACAATATAATACTTAACCAATCTGATGGAAAACAGAATAGTAAGTTGCAAAATATTGAAATATTAAAAGGGTTGAATATAGAATATAGATAATCATCCAAAAATCAATAAACAAAATATTGGTATCTCTTTTTACCTCAATCATGGGATATTTCCTCTCTTCAACTGTTAGAAACATGCCAGAGCTAGTTCTAACTTTACTCTTCATCCCCTAGATAACATGTGAAAGGAATGTTAAACTAAGATCTAGAATAGTGCAAGGCTGTACACAACACCATTAATTTAATTGAACTTCTTTTAACAGAAAGAAACATGATGTGATGTGTGTGAGGAGTAAAGAGTCAAAGAAAATGAAATATAATATCTTATTAATGATAAATGTAAACCAGAAGCTTAAAGCTTCCCAACAGAATGATTCTTTCTGGCCAACAAGAATAAATCTTGCCCAATAGCTAAAGCTATTACAATGTAATATGATTCTTATTTTCTACCTTCCTCCACTAGAGACCCTATATTTATAATAATAATAGTAGAAGTAACAAAATAAAGATTTTCAAAAGGGAAGCAATCCAGATTCCAAAAATCATCCCAAATCTCTAGATTTATTCTTTCTTTCCTTAGTTAGTTGTTTAACTGTTATTTACTATTCAATATACTCTCCATGATTCATGCCTTGCTTCATTCAATCTCTATCAATATGACTACAGAATTTTAAAGTTTATGAACCTGCATACAGGATACTCATGAAAAACAACACTGGAATCCCTTGGCGAATTTAACAATTAGTAGAAATATATTCACGTGAGAATAGTGTTTGTTGGGAACGAAAGATAAACGTTCAAAAGTGTGGTTGAATATAAGAGGGAAATGCAATGACTAAAGATGGTAAGATATTAAATAGTGAAAAAATATTCAAAAGGATCGGTTGTTTGAGATGTCAGCTTGTTAACAATAAAGGAAATGTGTAATAATTATCATTTTCTATTTAAAAACTGTATTGACTAAATTGAAGGGATGGGAGGCAAGAACGAGTGAATAAGTATATTTTCTAAAATATTTTGAACTACCAGAACTTTAGAGGAATGAAAATGAAAATTATAGCTAACAAAATGGCAGCCAAAACTTTTCTCACCTTTCCAGTTCTTGTATCCACAACAGTAGAAACCTGTAGACGAGGTTTGGCAATAGCTCTAAGATAATCACATTCCTGCAAAGCAAAGCAAAAGACAGACAAATTAAATTATCTATGTAATGAATTTTAGGCCTATAGATACGCAATCCAAATGGCATTACACTTTCCTTTTAAAAATTTATCCTTTCCTCTGAAAGATCTTTTTCTTTAGTGATGGTCTGCACCAACCAGTTTAACTCTATACATGCACGTTTTATATTCCACTCAAAGCGACATTCAATAATAACTGAGGTTTACATTTCGAAGAGGCACATATGACTGAAGCTGAATTGTTCATGCTTCACAACTCTCTTAAAAACTTGTCAACGAAATGGGAACACAACAGTTCTCATATTAAAGAGGAAGTGTTCTTCATGCACAAACTAAATGTATCACCAGATAATTATAGAGTAAATGATTAGAAGGAATCTGAGACTGGAAACATGAAGTATAGAAAGTACATTGAAAATCTTCACTTCAGAAGACACGTCTGCAAGAATTGGGATGAAAAGCTGGATATTCTTATCAAATTGATTAAATCTTATTGAAAAAAATTAGCGGCAAAAAGAAATGTATCACCACGTCCATCGTACGTGTCATTTACTAGTCATCATTAAATGATACTCCTCCATCCCATTTTAACAGTCTCATTCTTCAATTTCACACATATTAAGAATCTGTAACTAATATGCATCGAAGAATCAAAAGTTTAGTCTCCCAACTATATCCTTATTTTCTCTAAATTCTCCCAACTATATCCTTATTTTCTCTAAATTCACCAATAAATTACTTTTGAAATGGTCTCACTGAATAGGGGTATGGCAAGGACAAAAGAATTATACAAGCCCCAAACAAACAAGGGGCTATAATTTTTGTACAAAAGAAAAGTGAAGTTATGGGGCTAGAGCATAGAAATAGCGGGAGTGGATCTACATTTTCATTTTCTGGATTAACTCAAGCTTTGCTTTGCTTAGAAACCAATATCAAATTATTCAGTCATTGATAGATCATAGATTAAAAGTCTTCTTTCTTCAAAAGGAAATATGAAATTCAAGGTTGAAGAATTTCACTATCTTACATATTGTTCAACCAGCATTTAATATGAATGCTTATGATGTATAATACAGTAACACTTACCATTAGACTTAGACAAGAAATATATAAAAAGTATATATTCATCATACCTCCGGACTCAAAAAGTTATGAAATACAATTATACGAGGTGACCAGCTAATTACTTCAGGTTTCACCTGCATCACAAAAAGAAAAGATAATTTATGGAAAGGAAAAGTAGAAATAGGAATGATATACAGTAGCAAGCCAGCACCCATCTTAAGAGGAAAATAGATTAAATCTATTTGGATGTAATACATGCCCAATGTACCAATTATTAGGCCATCAATGTTTGCAACAATGTTTGAGAATAATATAAAACTCGACCCTACTTTATTCTATTCGTAATATTTGCAAATTGTTTGACAAAATTATAAAACTCGACCCTACTCTCATCTTTTCATAACATACGTTCATCCCGTGTACATCAACTCTAGATAACAATTACATGATACTGAAAGCTTGCTTCATATGATCGATCATTTTCTTTATCAATGATATTCAACCACTAAAGAACCACATTGCTGAAGACGCACCAACTGAAACCATTATTCAGAGACTTGAGAGGGTACTACCAAAGGCATAAAAGACATGGAACTTACATATCCGAGACGCAGGGCAGCAGCTTCTTTATCACCCCAATAAGAAACATCTAATAAGAGATAACACAAGATCGAGATGGTTATTAAAGTAGAGACTGATATAAATGTTTTGAAATCGCAGCAACACATACAGAAGTTTAGCTTGACAACTGTAGGAACCTCAAGCAAGTCAAAAATTACCTGCATTTAGACTCTGAGCTCTCGACAAAGAAGATTTGGCCCCTACAGTCCAGTTTACCAAAAAAGTAATTTGATAAGTCACAACACTTGCCTCCAGAATATAACTCGTTCATTATGGACGGAAAGTAGCTATGGCGCTATGCATACATGTATTAAGTGAAATAGTAGAACAAGCATGAAAAATGAGTGTCATTATTAGAATGACTACTTCAGTCTTGCATATTCCATGTTAGCAAAACAACACTATACTCACAGTTACATATGTTTTCTGGACAAAGAAACCAACACAGCAAAGCTCATGTTTCACGTGATGTGAATTCTACTAAACCAGCAATGATGCACCATCACGAATTTTACAACATGTATAAATTTTTAATATAATAATACCTAAGCTTCAGAACTTGGGCCATAATTCAAAAAAAAAAAAAAAAAATACTATGCCAAGGATGATGACAATGAAATGTTTGTCGTTCGACTGCCTAGTTAAGAGCACAATTTTTACAGGTTATAGCTTAATCCTTGCAATGATTTACTTTGAAGTCTCCTCTGTCATATCTTAGTAAGGGTAGATTGATATATTTAAACTTCTACAAATGTTGAATATACGGCACGGACAGATATTGTAATTTATCAAATAAAACAAGTTCATCCGAAACAGAAAGTTTTTGGTTCATCCACACAACGGATTCCTGAACTAAGAAAAAACAAGATAAGATGTCCAAATGGTAAGTATGCTTTCCTACATGGAAATTGTAGAATCCAGTTCCATAAAAAATTGGAAATTGAAATTTTAAATTTTTCTAGGGAAAAGATAACCTTCATACACTATTATAGAGGAACTTCAGTAAGCTCCATTTTTTGACTTGCTGGTTCGCTAAGAAATTAGCCTGTTATGAAGTCAAAAGACTACTTCAATAGTTCAGAGAAAGAGAGAGAGATGATTTCACCGAATCATTTATCCTACAACATATATGGAAGTAAATAGAGAAGAAAACCTAAGAACGAGCAGTTAACATAGAGTAACAGGAGCCAGAACAAGGTTTCGAGAAGCAGTGAATATGTTGGGAGATTAAATTTAAAGCACTCCCTCTTACTATCTACAAGCATAAAATGATAGAGTTAAAGGTGAAAGCTAATAAAAACAATAGATAATCAATATTATTAATTAAGAAATTAACTTGCAAATAACTCGGGACAAATCCTGCCCAGCTTAAGGCCGACACTCCTGGAAGAAACTTCCCGCCCAAGCTTAAAACCGACAATTTTATTCAACACAAGCTAATCCTAGTATCAAATACTAGTCCATTTAGATAGAGTCTTAATCCTAACTCTAGTTATATCCTAATGGATATTCAAAGCAAATGAGCCCAAAAGCCCAGTTATTGTAATATACGAAACAACAATTGATCCTAACCAAAAAAAGACTAAAAGTAGACATCAAGAATAATTACTTGAAACTACTCTATATATGTTCTGTACATTTTATAAAACAAATTTGCAATGCATTACGCATAGGTTAACGGTGGATGGGAGCTGGAATGCTAAAGGGAAACTCCCAAGGCTATTAGACGGTCCAGAAACTCACCGTAAGAATCTTCCAGCCTTCTAATAAACGCCAATTGAAGCAAAACTCCTGAAATTCCATTGTAAAAATGCCACTTTAGAAAAATAAAGAAACCAAAGTAAACAGAGTAAAAACACTTTGACTGACTTGCAGCTACTACACCAGCAACACGAATACAGAAATCAGAATACGAAATCGTTATGAAATCAAAATCGAGCTAATCATTCAGAACTCATTGATGTTCTCAGTTTGCAGGTAAAAGACCATATAATCGACTATACAAGAAAAAACTACAAGAAGATATTACAACCAACTAGGAACTTTCTCAAGCCGATCAATTCATTTACACAAACTACCAAAGCTGGGTGGTGGTGCTGATCGTACCAACTTGAGCGAGCAATTAGATGTTCATCGAGTATGAACTGACGTCTTAAACTGTTGAAGAATACTGATTGTATAAAAAATGAAGCAAAAACAAATATACAAACAATTAAATGAAAAAAAAAATCACAGATCAGAGTGGAAGATTTTACCGATCATCATTCCAACTGTTAATATTATGAGGAGAATAAGGAAGAATCTCATCCAGGAGGCCGCCATTGTTATCGGAAAGAGAGTTTAGAAGAGTGATTATCGGTAAATCCCACAGATCCGTTGACAAGAAACTAAAGATTGAAAGACTGCATTCAACGGCGCTGATGTAATCTCTAATTTTAGTTTTAATTAACAAATAAACAATGATGTTACCAAATTTTCCTAGCAGTTAAAATATGAAATAAATTAGGTAAATTTTAAGACTTCTAGTTTGACCAAGTAATGCACTTTTAAACCATTTGTAGAATAATACTCAATTTATATGTCAATTCCTCAACACAAACTTTTCTCTTTCCTCTGGTGAAAACAAAAAATCCCCAATCTCTGCCCTAATCGATCGTCCACACCGTGTGCGCCTCTCCTCCGGCGGCCCTAGATTTGCCTAATTCCGGCGAGCATCTGGCTCTTCCTGGGCCCGGCGGCGCGGCTATGGCGTTCTTCCGTCTTCACCTCCTCGAGTGGTCCCGATCTTGCACCGATTGCCATGGCGAGCGAGGAAAGGCGGACGGCGTTAGCGGCTGTTGTCCGGCGGACGTCTCGGGCGTCCTTGCGGCGGTCGATGGCGGTGGTCTAGCCTTGGTTCCCCCCTTGCCCGGATTTCCTTGGTGTTGGGAAGTTGGGGCCCTGCGGCAGCGGCTGTGCAGTGGTGCGGTGGCTCCGGCGTACGCGTGGGGGGGAGGGGGGGCTGTGGAGTGGTCCGGCCTGGGTCGGGTCTGTGGAGTACTGGGAGGAGCTGTCGAGTTTTGTGGTCCGAATCTAGTTAACCCATTAGGGGAGTTTCTGGGTCTGTTGTGTTTGGGCCGTGGCTCTCGTGGGGTGTTTGCCCGGGGTGTGGTGGTTCTCGGCTTTCCCGTCCGGTGGGGAGGGCTGTTTATGATGACACATTAGTTAACAACGCTCATCAGCATCCACACAATAGTAGTTGCACATTGGTAAACAACATGTCTGACACATGCTGAAACATAGCTTTNTGTAGAATAATTTGACTTTTTGCTAAAGCAAACAGCTGACATTTATGAGTTTCGTCTTTTTTCTTTCGAGTCTCCTTTCAGTGGGGAATTGTCTCTAAAGAGTTCCCCTTCAGTTCTTCATACTGTGTTTATAAACTTTTCAAAAATAACGAGTGTCTTTTTGTCTGTCATCTTTGTTTTTTTTGTGCCTTTAAACCAAATATGTCGAATGTGAGTGACCATGAGGTAAAGGTGATCCTAGAAGGAGAAATAGAAAGCCAAATCCTGACGTGGGAGGGTTGTTGGCGTTGTCCGTCGATGCAGGAGCCGCCATAGCAAGTTACAATTGCTCAGGACACCCTCTTTCAGCTTCTAGGGTCGACTGGAGATCTGCATTTGTTAGGAGCACTTTGTGGGACAACGATTTGGTGAAGTTGAGGGAGAAGTTCGAAATACCAAGGATGATGAAGATGTTTGCTTCGTACGAAAGAGGACGTGTCCCCTGTTCTCCGAGGTCGCAGTGCATTGAGAATCCGTAGTGTTTGGACTAAGGTTTCCTCTTCTTCCGATAATATCGAAATATTTGGGGAGAATGGGAGATCGATATCAGCCCATTGCATCCGATCGTGGTGTATCACTTGTGCTCGTTGATCGTCATGTTTGTTAACAAGGGGTGGTCGGCTCCAACCGTGGAGGAACTGGATTCTGTATACGTGTGGAAAGCGGAAAGCGACAAAAGATGGATTGGGGTACTTTCATTTGGCAGTGCGTGATTATAGGTATGCCAATTTGGTGAGGGATGTACTCGAGTCCCGGCATGGTTGGAAGCAAGACTGGTTCTGATAGCAGGAGAGTGGAGGACTCCTCGGCCGTCTGGTCGGTTTGCATACGAGTTGACCTTCTTTAACTAGGCCATGCCTTCAGGTCGAGTTTCAACCAGGTCATCCGAGGACTCTAGCTCGACCTTTCCATGCTTCTTTGGATCTATGACTTCCTCATCGACCTGAGGGCTCTTCAACATATAGCTCCTTCAATCTTCGCTCGACTTACCAGTCACCCGGTTTAGTCAACTTGTTTCCCAGGTCTAGCCGTTATTTAGTTCATAAAAAATGATACTTAGTTGATATTATGATGCATATTTATTTCATAAATATAGGATATTCAATTCATGCCACATGCATATTTAATTCATATCAACTGCTTATTTTTAGTGTACATTTTCTTCACACATAATGCATATTACGGTCAACAGTTAACACTGAAAGTCACATAGAAGTCATTGGTCAACACAAAAGTCAACGAGTCAACGGTCAATGATAAATGGTCAAATTAATATTTAAATAACGAAAGTAAAAAAAAAAATTAAGTTTTGATCACAAATCTTGATATTTATTTAATTGCTAAGATTAGAACTTAGCCTCACATACTCATTTTATGATATCAAAATATCCGTGAACAAGTCCAAATTTGTTTATCAATTATTTTTCTATTTTTTATAGATTGTAATAGAATTTTATTTAAAAAAAAGTTAAAAAAGTTGATTGTTTATCTANTAATTTAATATGATGAATGATATGGCACCATTCGCTTTCTAACTTCATGCTAAGGAAATATATATTACTAGTAGGCAAAATTGCATTTTTAGTCCTACTGGTTTAACGCCATAGTATTTTTAGTCCCAAGATTTTAACTTTTTGTCTTTTAATCCTGTAATTTAGTATTTTGCTGCAATTTCAATCCTTTTGGACTGAAATTGCAAAAAAAATCAAAATTACATGACTTAAATTGCTAATAGAAAATTCATTGCAAAGATTTTTTATTAGCAACTTAAGTCCTGTATTATTAAATTTTGTTGCAATTTCAGTCTCCAAAGGATTGAAATTGCGTTGAATTTTAAAATTATAGGATCAAATAGCAAAATGTTCAATTCTTAGGACTAAAAACGCCATTGGATCAAACCAACAGGACTAAGGGGGTTATATTCAATTGAGATTCTTAAGGACTTTTAAAACTTTTTAAATTTGATAACTTTTGTGGACTTTGTAAAACTTTCATGACTTTGGTAGACTTGTTGAGACTTTCAGAGAATTCTAATTAGTGACTTTTTAAAACTTTCATAATGGACTTTTTAAAACTTATTGAGACTTTTGTATACTTGTAGTTATAATATTATGTTTGAATGAAACATTAGTAAACGTAACATAATAACTAATATCAAGAAGAATAAATAAAAAAAAATTATTTTATATATTAATCCTCTAAAAATTTATGAATCAACTTACGTTATGCGAAATGAGTTATTCACTAACAAATTATTTAGGATTTTTAGATTTATTAAACGAGCAAATCAATCCGAGCTTCAATGAGTCGAACTATGGAAAATACAAATATTGTCGAAAAACAGTAATTGTATTTTATAAAGTTATCAGTAATATTCAAAATAATTCAATATCAACAAATAAACTATTAGAAAATAAAATAATTTTATTAATACTAATAAAATAAACATTGACAAATAAAAAGAAAGAAAAAATAAATTATTTGCAAGTGCAAGTACTATTGAAGCATTTAACCTTTGAAAAATTAAATTCACAAGATAAGAATAAAAGTATATATACATAAAATAAAGATAACTTATATGTAATGAAATAAAAATTATACACGGTATCAAAATAAATGAGTAACATAATAAAGCATAAAAGTGATATGGGATAATAAAGTCATGTTAGAAAGAAAACAGAAAGGGAGCGTGAAGAGAGTCACGTAAGTTCAACAAAATCTCACCAATATTGATGGGATTTCTGTTGAGACTTTCTCTTTGTAATTTTGTTAGAAAAGTCTCTAAAAGTCTCACAATTTAAAAAAAATCTCACAAAATCTTCACATTTTGCATACAGAATTACTTATAGAGACTCTCAGAAAGTTTTAATTGAATACCCTGAGAATTTTAAAGACTTTTAAAAAGTTTTAAAAGTCTCAATTGAATACATGTAAACTTTTCAGAAATCTCTAAAAGTTCTGATTTAATACACCAGAATTCTGAAAGTCTTAAAAAGTCTCTAAAAGTTGAAATTGAATACACCACTAAAATTGCAATTTTGCCTTACTAGTAATATATAAGAATAAAGTATAAATCAAAGAATTCACATTAATCATCCTCTAAACTCCTGCATATTATACTCACTCCAAAAAACACGCAACTTTCGACTTTCGAGAGTTTGCCTTTTTAGTTTCTAACTTCACAAAAAACAAATATTTGCAATTTCAGAAAACAGTCTACACTCTGCCCATGTACTTGTCATGTTATTGCTTCCTTTTCGGGCCAGGATAGGGTTCTTTGTGTGAGTTTTTTAAATTTCAATTTTCTTTATTACGGTAGAATTCTTTATTGTTGCAAATTCAGTTCTTTCACATACACATTTTTTTGGAGAAGTTTGTTTGACTATATAAACATAGTTTCGAGCAGAGTTCATTTATTTGGCCACAAATAAAATCGAAAGCAAATCCAAGTAAGTTTTAATGGGAACTAAGGTTTTGTTGTATTGTTTCCTTTCCTTCGAACAAAAAACTATGGTTAATTTGTACTAGCAAGTATCATGGATTGAAGATATAGCGCATATGACGTTATTTTGTTTATTTTGTTCACACTTTCGCATTTCATTTAGCTGTATCTCAGACTCATGCATGATAATTATTAAAAAATAAATGTATATTAGTAACATATAAATTAATAACCTATGTCATTATCAAATATACTTTTCATCCAATTTCTTTAGATCAATATATATATTTAGATATCTCTTTTCTAAAAGTTAAGTAAATTAAAATTATAAGATAGATACATAACTAGAAAAATAATATTAAATGACAAATAATTAGAAGGGAAAAAATTCTAACTTAAAATAATATTTAAAAAGAACAAAAAAGGACTAGGGAAAAAACTCTAACTGAAATAATATTTAAAAATTTGTTAGAGTAGAATATCCGACGTTCCAATCTGATTGGATATATTTCTACTTTTAAAGACAATTTATTGAAAATTATATTATTTTGAGGCATAACTTTATCTTATGTTTTTGCATTTAGCCTATATTTGCACATAGAATAAAGTTCTTAGATCATTATTAGCTATGAGAATCATAGAACGTGTCTTTAAAGCTGTGATCTTAAATAAGTTCCAAGTCGATGGGTGTTTCGAGACAGGATATTGAATAACCCGGTAAGACTTGTGCATATGATGCATGCTCGTCGGACGGGAATGTTGCATTTCATCAACATTAGCGTGTGGACGCAAATGCATATATCTGGGTGCTTGTTGGGGAACAAGTTCACTGAACATGGCCCGATGAAAATTCTTAACTGGAAGTTTGTAACTGTCGAATAAGAATTTTCATGTTGCAATAGTACATGACTGATCCTCTGACTTGAGGCACGATAGTAATTTTGTGCATGTTGTGCTTTACTTTGATTTATCCTTTGGTTGTTGGACAATCATAAAAGGAATATTTTGGGTATTGTATCAATATGTATGGAGGTTTGTCTGTGGCCAACAAAGAATTCGACACTAATGTGGATAAGTAAATTTCCTATGTTTTTTCATAGTTTGTGATTCAAAGACCTTGGTCAAGGCGGGATGAATATGGATTCATAAAGGAATCACTAAACTTGAAATGAAATCATAGTTATTAAATCAATTGGGTTTCGACTTATTAATCCATGCCCGAGATTTAATCGGGAAATTAGTTGTCGAAAGGATTTTATATGTTTGCACTTGCAATTGAAAAAGTTTACTCGCTATTTCACTTAACGCCATATAATCAGGCTACTTGCTAGGTGTTACCATGATTTGTGGGTTCTTGAAATTAAGAAGTTAATTTCAAGAATATAAATTAATTAAATTAATTTAAATTACAAACGAGTTGTAAACTCACTACTAGTGTTAATTGTGAACCTGAAAGGGTCACACCAAATTTTGGATGAGGACAATTTTGAAATTGATATTTCCAATAGTTGGAATAATTGACAAGACTTAATTAAATAATTTGATTATTTAATTAAATCTAATTTTGATTAGATGTCAATTAAAGGAATAGTATAAATTAATCAATTGGATTGATTAACTAGGCTTTGGATATTAATTAAGTAATTATTGAAATTACTAAATTAATAGTTGGATTTTAAAGTTGTACTTTAAAATTCAAATCCAAATATTAATATGTTATATATTAAAAGCCTTCATAAAAGAGAAGAGTTTATTTTTATGGGAGATAAAATTTTGACAAATTAATTTTGAAAGTTAGTTTCATAAATTATATGTCATTATCTTTAATTAATCTTAATAATAAAGATTAAAATAAATAAAATAATTATTATTTTATATGGTAGGAGAATATTGCCAACCCATTACAATAGTGGGGTGAATATTGCCAACCCATAGTGGGTGAATATTGCCAACCCATTATTATTATTATTATTATTATTATTATTATTATTATTATTATTATTATTATTATTATTATAATAATATTTATATATACATCTTGATTTGTGTATATAAATAGATGTACATGAGATGTACATTGTAATGGAATGAGAAGAAAGAAAGAAAAAGAAATAGAAAGGAAAAATTAACATCTTCCATTCTTGTAAGAATTGTTCTTGGAGAAAAATAAAAAAATAAAAATCTCCTCTCTTAATTATTTTAAATACCAATTAAATACCGGAAAATTCTACTAGCGAAGAAATTGTTCTCGGAGTCGGAATCCAAAAGGTGGACTCGATTAGAGGGGAAACACTTGGATCCCTTATGGTGAGACGTACGAGATGGTAATAGCCACATAACCAGGAATCGATTTTCTCTTCGTCGTCGCTATTTGAAGAAAATTAAAGGTAATTTTTCAAATTCTCTACAAATTAAAATTCATATTTTTACGTGATTTTAAAAGATGCCGATCATAACAATCACTATGTTAACCGAGAGGTTTAATATTTATTAGATAAATATTTATTTATTTTGTTTTATTTCCGCTGTATTTCATCCCTACGATATAGCGAACCCAACAAAATGAACAAAAAAAAAACCAAGTACTCACCACACAAAAAATTTTCTTCGCATTACCATCCGAAATAACGTTGATTTTAGGGTTTGGAAAAAATTTATAGTTGAAAATTAAAATAAGGCTTGCTCATGCTTGCCACTAGGGGCGAAACCACTTGGAGGGCCGGAGTGGCGCCGGCCCTCCCAAAAAAAAAAAAAATTTGAATTAGGGGTGGGGATTTTGCTCGAACTGGAAGATTTTCCTTTGAGCGATTGGGATTGAGCCCTCCCCGAAACGAGATAATTTCTCCCTATCGTTGAATCTCTACAAGCTAATTTTTTTGGGCCCTCCCCGAGCTAACATCCTGGTTTCGCCACTGCGTTGCCACACAAAAAGATTTGCTTCACATCACCATTTGAAATAGTGTTGATTTGACTATTGGTTATTGTTGGTATGTAGAATATAACTACGAGTAGAATTGTAATTTATAAAAGGTCTTGTAAAATTCTTGTAAAATTATGTGGCTTGAATATTTATTGGACAAGAGTTGATTGGAGTGTATATGGGCTTATTGGAAGAACTCTAGATTTTCTTAAGTCCTAAAAGTAATTTTATTTCTAGAAACAACTTTTATATATGTCGATTTTTCTAGAAAATGGGCATCAACTCAACCGTTATATAGAGTTTGGAAAATCTTTACCGTTGAAAATTTAGATAACATTTGTTGAAGCTGCGGAAGAGAAAAATATTTAAGATGAAATTCCCATGATGCTAACCGTGCAAATTTATCTTCCCTCATAATTTGATTTTATATTATTTAAAAAATGAGTCTTATTTATAATTGTTTTATATTATCAAACTATACCAACATTAATGATATGAAGTTTAATAAAAGCATTTATTGTTCTGCAAAATGTTTTAGTTATATAATTATGGTTTAGAAGTTACATAATATTAATGATACTTAAATGGCCATATTAATGCTACTTAATGCTACTTAATGGCCTTTCTTGTTTAAATGCAATTTTGGTCAAGATCTTCATAATAATATACTAGTATTTATAAACTTGGTCAAGATCTTCATAATAATATACTAGTATTTATAAACTATTAATTAATGTGACTAAACTGATTAGCTGGCAAGCATCAAATAGCAAAACCAGGTTTTTTTTTACACCAAAATTGTAAATATTTTACTCTTTTATTTATGTTATTTACGTTTTTATTTATATAATGTTTTAGAAAATATATCTATTTGATATGAAAAGTTTAATTTATTTATTTTTAATAGTATATCATTTTGATATGAAAATAAAATATAGATATATTTATGTTACAATTTAATTTATGTTATTTTACACTTTTATTTATGTTTTTTTTATGTTTTTTTTAATCGTATTATTTTGGTATGAGAATATGCATTATATATTAATATGCATTGATTTCCTTTCAAATTTGTCCTGTCAATTTTATAACTTACAGCAGTCCTATTAGTTAATTTAGTTCCAATTAAACAGTATTTTAGACTAATTTTTCTGCAATTTCTTACATAAAGAGTAAGTCAAAATCTGGCTGGGATTCACTAACATATTAATCTTCTTCGTAATCTGCAACATATATAAATATTTTGCATATGATCCTGACCCTTTAGTGCTTGTAATGAATTTTGGGTTCATCTCATGAAAACATTTAGATTTAGTCCTCCACAGTTTCAGACAAATTATGATGATATCCAGGCAAATAATAATAAGAAGAAGAAAATATAACGTACGTGCAAGACGATTGATTTTTTATTTCTCATCACAACTTAATTAACTCAAAAAATGAAACATTAATTTCAGGGTAAAATGCTTTTTATAATTTTGTGCTCCCTCCTTGNATTCTTTTTCTCATTTTACGTGTTTGGTTTTTTCCCCATATGTATAATATTTGTATATGAAATATGATTCAGGTTTTGCCATCAAAACCCAAGCTTCAGAACCCTATGACTACTCAGTTAGCATTGATGTAAGACATACAAAAATTTATCAATTCTTCATTAATTTCCCCTATTAAATTAATTTGTAACAACTCAATTCTTATTTACTTACATTTATTTTCGAAGTGTGTGCCTGAGGCACTGCCTCCCCAATACAACGGCGGCATAATCGAAAACCCAAGTTTCGATTTTGGCCTTAAAAATTGGAAAGAATTCGGAAATGCAAAAGTCGAGCCAAAAAAATCAAAGGCCGGCAACCCTTTTTTGGTGGCTTTTGACCGGAAAAACCCAACAGACAGTGTCTATCACTGGGTCAATCTTAAGAACGACACAATATACGCATTCTCAGGTAATAAAATATGAGAAAAACAATCAAATGAAAATTATGCGTTTTTTTTAAAGGAAAAAGAAAATG